TAAATTATTAATAAAAAGTATATATATACTAAGTTCAATAACCATGAAAAGTCATAACTAGTATTTAAAAATTTAAGTCATGATACATGCTATTACAAGTCCAAAATAAGTTTAATAATAATAAAAACACACATTTTCATATATTTAAATTTTCATCTTTTTCTAATCTCCGTGTTCTTCCAATATTTGAACTTCATCCTACTCATATTCATCTTCTTTAAACATGTGCTCCTCATTCTCGGACTCGAAATCTTCATCAAAAAGTCCGCTCAGTATTGAAGTTTTATAGGGTACTTGATTATCATTAGTCCCGAGAGCTTCATCAATCGCTTCCATAATTGATTCGTGGTCAACTTCATCTACATCACTGTCGTCTCAATCAATAATCCATTCTTGAAGAGAGTGAGAACCATTTGCTAAAAGCACTTCCAAAGTCCTATCTTTTCTTTTTTTGTTTTTTTTTAATTCCATAAAATTAGCATTGAATTGAGCATAAACAAAATTTGTTCAATCTACTTGTCTCCAATCTATTTCCTTTCTTTGTATGTACCTATAAAATACACATAACAAAAGGTTAAAAACGTTTTTGATATTTAAATATTATAAATTTATAACTAACCGCTTCAAACATGCTCCAATTCCTTTCACATCCTGATAAACTACTAGTTAAAAAAAATTCTTATTGCAATCTTTTTTCAAAAGAGGAGTTAAGCCACAAAAAAGTCCACACCATCTTGCTACAATATTGAGACAAAAACACACAACAAAAAATTAGCAGGAATCAGAAAAATACACCAAACACGCACTATAATTCAAAAATAAAATTAGCAAATCAAAACATAAATCACACCAAATATAAGATAATCATAGTAGAAATCAGGGAGCCACATAAGATATTAGAAAAATCACATCAGAGATCATAAATTTTCACCAGAAATTAGAAATCACACAACATATCAGAAACAACACACTAGGAATCATAAATTCACACCAGATATAAAAAGCATAAGCAATGTAATGTGATGTATGCAAAAAAAAAATCAGAAACAAGCTTGGTTATCACTGAAATCAGAATTGAAACAACTATGTGAATGTATGAATAGAAATCACATATCAGCTTGTTTTTCATAGAAAATACAAGTTAAAAAACCACCTTATAAGTCATAATTTACACAAGAATGTACCAAAGAGGTGGATATAATGCTCAAAAGATCAAAACCAATACACATACCAATGTCTCACGTGTGCGTCACTAGAGTGAACTATGGGTAATGGTAGGCATTGGTTTCTGTTGTGTGCATCTCCGGTGTTCGGAGGATGTGTCGCAAGAATATGTTGAGCGTAAGCTTCTGCTGGGAATGTCACCAAAGTCTGGTGTATATGTTGTCGTCGTATGCATTTTGCGTTGCCGGTAGCCACGCTTCTAAGCTTGAGACAGAAACCAAAAAAAGGAGGATGAGTATGATGGGAATTAGGGTTAGACGTTTTTTGGAGCATTTTTTTTTATTTTTACCAACTTTGACAATTAAATTATTTTGACTTTGTATTGACCGTCGTTGACCGCCAAGCCTTTCGTTGACCAAAATTTACCAATTTCCACCAGGCACCTATAATCATCATCGGTTGCAGAACACCAAGAGATTAAACAATTAAAACAATAAATAAGGTGATAAATAATTTTGTAAAACCATCATATTTGCATGAATTGAGTCAGATGCATAAAAATGACCAAGCATACTTGGATCAAAAAATCAAAAAAACACCTGCTATGAGCAGTGACTACGCATCATGCATGTTAAACCTACACGTTGCATCCCATGCACAGATTCCTGTTGCGTTAGAGAAACCGATGTGTCATGTTTTTACAGTTAGTGTTTAGACCAAACCTCATTAACTTGTTGTTTAGTATAAGAGGATGTGTGGCATCCATGATGCAGAAAAGATGCTAACTAAACCCTAAATTATTTTTGAATTACAAAAGGTTTTAAGACATTTAAAATTTTAGTGATCTGATCTAATCAGGTCACTAACATGCATGCAAATATGGTCAACAGAAACATATTGGAAACCAAGGGATATAGACATGAACAAATAGTTCTGATACCATTATTGGTTTATGAACAAACTAAAAGACAACAAAGGTACAAAAAGAAAGAAAACAAAATATATCATGAACCTAATTGTAGATCCATGTTCAACCAGTCTTATGCAACAAAACTAAATCAACCATTGAAAGGTAAAATACACTTACATTCCTAGCATCCAAAAGAGAATCCATCACGATCATCTCTTAACATTTTAAGTTTATGTCTAGAAATAAATCCTTATTCCTATTCCGCTTAAACTAATGTTCTGATACCAAATGTGACCTCTCCAAATTCACGGTCATTTTGAAAATTTTATTTTTGCTTATTTGAAAATCAGAGTATTCATTTTAAAGAATAATATCGTGGAATTTGTTCTTAGAAAAACATGATAAATATATTATCAAAGCATTTCCGAAGAAATGTATTTTGTTTATATAAAAACTTTGGGATGTCATCATCAATACAGAAACATAAACATAAACAAACCTTACTACTGATTTACATCTCCTTTAGTCTCTCAGTGTATTGTAGCTTCATATCAACACCTGTGATACAAATAACTGAGTGAGTCAGGTTGGGAAACCTGGTGAGTACATAAGGTTTTCAACCCATAATAATAAAGTTATTATGTTTCATCATCAAACAATTAACCCAACTTACCATCCCCATTATCTTCTTTATTCTTAAGGATCTACCCTAAGAATCGTCTATTCATTATTCATTCATTCCTAAGCATTGTCCTAAGCAATAGGCACGAAGTACATCGCTGTCAGGGTTCATCCAACAGGAACTAAGTCCATAGCAGCCGATGTTATCTGTTAGGCACTAAGTCCATAGATGCCAATATCGATTTATAGGGCAATAAATCCATAGCTGACAACGTTCATTTGTAAGGCACTAAGTCCATAGCTGTCGGGTTTATCTATTTGGCAGTAAGTCCATAGCTGCCAGGGTTTATCTATCAGGTACTAGTCCATAGCTGTCAGGGTTTATCTATCAGGCACTAAGTCCATAGTTGCCAGGGTTTATCTATCAGGCACTAAGTTCATAGCTGCCAATGTTCATCTATATCATATTTCATATCTCATCATTCATCTCATATTTCATCTCTCGTCTCATCTCATCTTTAATTTACCCATCATAATTATAGGTATAAAATACGTATATAGTTTAAATCAAGTAAAACATGTATATTTTTTTCATCCAACATAGAAATCAAGAATACAGATAATATATACACATAGCACATAATTTATATTAAATACTTCATATCTATGTGTAAGATGAAAGTAAGTGTGCACTCACTTACCGGGGGTTTGGCTAGGAACCAGGCTCTGCGGGGGCAGAACTTTCGAGCTGAAACGCTCCTCTTTTCGGAGCCTTCTGGCGTTGCGGGGCTTTCCTCTAGCAATTAGAAGTTACTAGGGCTTCAGGATAGGTTTAGAGAGAAGTTAGAGAGAGAGAATGGTTATGGTGTGAGGAAAAAGGGTGAGCTTCACATAGTATTTATAGGCTGAAAATGGCACAAATCGGCGAGTTTAAGCCTCCAAATCGTCGCGTTGAGTTCCAAGTGTCACCATCTGGTGGCAAGGCGTGGGGAGGAAGCAATGGTCTAAATTAAGCCACGTCACCCCCTTCGCAACAACACCCTTCCGTCTTCTAAATTCCGTAACTTTTGCATACAAGCTCCATTTTCGACGTTTTTTATATCCACGCGTAGGTATTGACAAGATCTACAACTCTCCTTTTTACTCCATCAGTTAGTTCTCGACCGATTTTATATTTAATAGTATGAGAAGATTACACTGTTTACCGACAGTGTAAAATTCATAACTTCTATATACGGACTCCGTTTTCAACTGTCTTTTTATCGTTGAGCTTCTATTAATGAGATCTTCAATTCTCATTTTAGGTTGTTTCTGCTAAAAATCGATCGATCTAAAATTCAAATTCCGGGCTGCATACTGCTATGTCAAATCTTAGAAAAATTATAACTTCCTCATACGAAGTAAGATTTGGACGTTCTTTTTACGCTCTTGGTTTAACATATACTACGACTTTCATTTATATCCCTAAGGCAAAAAAGTAATTTATCAAAAATTCATTTTTTACATTACGCGGTACCGTGCCGGTTTAGCCGTAAAACTTCGACGAGCCATAACTTCTTCATTATAACTCTGATTTCGGTGTTTTTTATATGTACTGAACCCTTATGACATATACAATAACTTGGTTAAGATTATTCATTCTAAATAATCTTCCACAAAAAAGTCATTTTTGATGTTTATTGTCTCTAAATTGACTAGCCCGAATCTGCGTGCGTTACAGATTAACAACACTTGACAACCTTGGATCAGCCAACTACTGAAACAGTAAATGATTAAGGTTTCTGCTAGTCCGACGCGAGACAAAAAGAGAAGGGACGCGATGTGTAAACGGGGTTGTTCGGGATTTTAGAGAAGGAATACAGGCTATTGATTTTTCTAATGTTCTTCACATTGGATCATCATCAGAATCTGCTTTTAAGGCCCTCTATTTATTGGGAAATGTTTTAAACCCTTAACAAATAATTACTTAGTCATCAAGTATTTATCCTTATGTTTGGTAATTCTCTTATTTTCATATTCTTAAGCTTAAACCCCTTTATGTCTACAAGTTTCATTTAATTAATTAAACACTCAATTAATTAACAAACTAGATTTGTATCATCCTTCTCTAGTCAATATTTCTTATATCACTCTGACAGTAATAGTAATATTACAAACTGTTGTGACTTTGGCCATTATTTCCAACAATGTTATATACATATTTACAGCCAAATTATCTATGATAGTTATAAAAGGTTGTAAATATATCAATATTTTTCTAATGAACATGAACATAAATCCATTGGCAATTATGACGACTAATTAATTGAATGCAATGCGAGAATATCTTGTAAGTTTTATTCATTCACAAACGAGATTTAATGTCTTGAAAAATGAAGATTAGTCAAAGGTGAAATTATAATGATTGATACAATAGAGCGGTTAAAACAGTTTTTCCTGCTTGATGCTTCATCATATCATATTGATAGCCTTACGACATGCTACCGTAGTTACTTCGATATGATTTTTGATGACTCTGATTCACATTGTCTCAACCATACCATCCATGACACTATAGAACAGAATTTGACACCCCCACCATATCTAGTTTTGCCCTTTAGGTACACTTGATAGGAGAAGTTGTACATGGACATAAACCAATGTTCTCAACCATCAGAATCTGTCTCACGAAATGGTAAAGGAACATTTTTCACTGCTCTAAACTTGCCAACATTATTCAAGTGCTCATTTTCCAACCTGTATCAAATCAGAAAGGATAAATACAGGATACTTTTTAACCATTATTCCTTAATTAAAAAATAGTACTAACTATATACAAAATGCATATGTTATTACCTATAGTAATTCCAATGCCCACGACGAATCACTTCTAAAGAAGCAAGAGAAAACTCAAGCAAGCGTGATTCAAACAATCCAACTTTAAATTGTAGCACTGTTTCCAACCAAGCAACCCTTAGAACAAAATTCAAAGCCTGCACATAAATGGAGATTTTTGTATTTCACGTTATGCAATTGTCAAAATGTAAAGTTTTAAAAAATCTTGAAACTTAATGATATAAAACTCACAATGGCTATGTAGTAGAACCCTTTATTCTTAAGAACAAGTTCATCTCTAAGCCATATGTTTTTTGACTTGGAATTAAGAAGTCCCCAGTCCTTCACAAAGTCCCAATATAGTTGGTATACGGTGGCAAACAAGGAAGTCACCAAAACGATTATCAACCAAAATTGTGTTTCCTGTCTTGCATAAGTTAACCGTGCTCCAGCTGCTATCATGGCTGACACATACTTACCCAAGTTAGCCAAGTGGTTAACATCACACTCATCAAACCATCTCCTCGCACACTGTATATATATAATTTCATACATAAAACGTTATCCTTGTTAGAGGTATTATAAAGTGACAATCAAAAGATTTAGGCATTTGTTGAAGATGTAATGCATATGTATGTACCTGCATAGCACGCCAGTAGTATGGAGCAAAAGAGATTACATAAGCAAGCTCTCGATATAACTTCCCTGATTTACAAGTATGATAATGATGTGTTTTAAAACTTCCGGCAAGGAAGTAACACGCTGTTGATTCCATGTGCCTCAATAATGGGATCTGCAACACAAAGAAGAAAAATACGTATACCGACTTTATCACCAGACAAGGTAAGTTAATGATGCTAGAACATATATGCGAACTTTTGTAGAAAAATTACCTGACTAGTAAGTTGATCTGCCATGAAGAAATCCATCATCAGAACCTATGTTTTCCATAAAAATCAAAATCATTACCTAGTGTCATAAACATTTATTTTATATTTTCCATATTTTAGGTGATGATTTGGGTAACCTAGGAGTACCTTGTACAAAGGAGAGCATATTATGTTGCGAATGACTCTAAGGAAACAATAGCGAGTTGGAAGGTAGAAGATGTTCAATGGACATACAAGCAACCCAATGAAAATCTAAATATCAAATCAAAGTTAAGAATAAACATTAAAAACTTTAAAAAATTTTAACTGATGTAACTAGTCAAGGTAATAATATTACCAAGAAAAGAATGCCCGGAATGGCGTCAATTTCAGTAGGAGAAAATCCATTTGAAATCAAAATGAGATGTAGTACCATGGCAGAAACCACAGTTGTCATCATACATGTGCAAATAAGAAATGCATCTTTATACTTGAGTGTTGTACCAGCTTGGAATTCGAATATGAAGTTGTAATTAATCCTTGTAGCTTTCCATGTGAAAAGGTTGCACCCATACATAAACAAATGCAAGCTCAACAATGCAAACATGCTGCATTTATATGTAACCAATGCAAACAAGATTATTTAGGTTTTTATTGGCATGGAAAAATTGATTTCTTTTATATATATATATATATATATATATATATATATATATATATATATATATAACTGAAAGTTTATACATTAAGTACCTGAAAACAGGATATATAGTTTCAACATAGTCGGTTTCTGTACCACGGGAGAACATGCCACTAATATGTGCCAATATTGCATATACACAGAATAAGGTTACAAAACTACCCGTAAAGAGTCCTGTTGCAACAAAAAAACTATTATATGGTTTTCTTGCTTGATGTTGTCATATTAATTTTTTCTTATTTTCTAATTATTATGATGAAGATACTCGATAAGGGGTATAATATATACCAACAAAGAAAGTGACCATGTGAGAGCTTTTTTGTTGGCGAGGCTTCAAAAATTTCATGGCCTTTTTTCTGTCATCCTTGGCAAAGTGCTTAGTGAAAGAAGATTCCACCTCATCCGTTAATTTTACCACCTAAAATTTATAATTCTTCATTATAAACGGTATATCCATAAGATTTTGAAATCAATATTGATCAACGGATTGTCACATTATCATTTTATTTTTCATACAACTTTTATCATTTTTTTCTTAGAATGCATTGAAATATATAAATGATTAATTATCAACACATTTATTTTAAACTTAAAAATATTTCATTTTTTTCAATTGAATAGTTCGATGGCTACTAAAATCCACATTAATATTTAAGGTCGACATAAAATCTTATTATGACTAAGTTTAATCCATTAAATGTCAAGTAATTAAGCATTCCATCTAATTAATTCAATTATTTTATTAAACTGTTTGTGGTTCTTTAACAATACAAACTAGTTTAAAAAAACAACACCAATGATTGAAAACATGTAGATTGCTTATTATGAAATTATTTGTCCACAAGTATTAAAAGTTTTTCTTAAACAGTAAACATGACAAGAACATTTTGAATTAAGAAGAAAAACAAGCAACGCGCATGCGTGGTACATTAATCGGAAAAGCAAAATGGTGAATAAAGAATTTGAACTCATTTATACATGTAAGGATTAATTAACTTTATACATGATCAGATACTTAGATGGATCAGTGTTTATCTTTTTACTTTTAGCTACCATATTGTAATGTAAATTCGACCACGTCTTTTCTTTCGCAAATAAATTAAGATAGAAAAATTAGTTTTGTCCAATTCTCTAATAGCATCTAAAATATTGGAGTTTTTTCAAATAGTTTTTAAGGCTATTTTATCACCTCATCAACAACTTAAAAGATTGCTAAAGAGTTGTTTTTTTGTAATTAAACTAAAAAACGAGTTAATGTAACAAGCAATGTAATATTAAATTAAAACTAACAGAGAAAAGAATATATATATTGGTTTTACTTAATTTACCTTATCCGAACTAACGAAATAAGATCTTTTGACAGCTTTTAAATAAGTTGCTGAAGACTGTTGATTAGAAACCTGTTAAATAAAAAAAAAAATAGTTGGAGTCAAAATTGAATCAAAATTATTACGTCACAAAGTTTATTTCTTCCCATGAAGTTTATTGTTTATATACTTGAGAACATATATATACGAGTTACCAACATGAAGCTTTGCCGCTTACCTTGTCAAATTTCTTCAGTATTTTTACAAATGCCACCATATTTAGAGAGCTGCCAAAAATATTCATTTGATCAGAAAATCAACAGGCCTCTAATAAATAAAAATGTAAAACATTTAAAGTTATATTTTAAACGTAAAAAACCAGAGTTTATTAATTTAACAATGATGAATATATGTAAGTAGTTAATTTTGTAAATTAGAGAAAAAAAAAAAGATGCCCAATATTAATGGCACTCGCTAGAGGTGAAATTATAAGTTTGCTATTAATCTGGCAAAAAATATAACTTTGTAGTGGGACATGTCCACTATCAATCTTTTTTTATTACCTCACTATATATTAATTAATCTTTTCCTATGTGTAGTATCATGACGGGCATACTCAAGGTACGCATTAATATTATAGATGCATTTATTTGATACATACCTATACGTTTTTAATAGACCAAGGCCTCTATAAAGTTCCACAAAAGCTCCTCTAATCATTTTTTCCGCGCATTGGATCTTCTTGCGATTGATGTAATCACTTGGTCCACCTTCTTTCTTAGGATTGTTTACTAGATCTTCCCAAAGCATAGATGTAACTGCTGTTATGGTTCTTGTAGGCGTAGTTGCTGGAATATCAATTCGCATGGCCATTTTAGGCTTTCCCTTTTTAGTTTTTCCTCTAGTTGCTGCACCAAGTAGGTTGATACCATTTTTTTCTAGAGCGGAAATCACATCATTTGTCTGTGTCCCCTCTCCACGGCTTTCAGCAAACTCAGTGGGTGTTTCTGCATGCCAAATTTCAATTCATTTTGATCCGATAGTAAAAGATAGAACAACATATCTAGATTCATATTTAAGAAACATTGTAATTAAGTATTATAATCGTGAATTTACATTTTGAGAATGATTCTTTCTTAAGTAAACAGTACTATAAAGTGCGCAGACCACTAACTATGCACTTTAGTTAAGGAGATTAATTTATACAAGTTGTGATCATGTGTAGGATGGAGGATTCTTTTAACTTCATGGACATTAAAAAAGCCACTAATTAAGGAGGTTGAAGAATATGAAAAATTGTGGTATGAGTTTGGTTACCGGAGTCAGAGGTGGGGCCAGACGAGTAAGAGCTGAGGAGTCCGGTGGAGCTTGGGGATCGTGCGAATTTAAACCGGCCTGAAGATTTTCTCCGGGAACCAAGAACTTGCTGGAGGTCCAACAAGATTTGGAGCTGTTTATTCAACATTTCTCCTCTCTCAAGGAATTCGCTTTCTTTGTTGGTATAAAACTGGTTCACCTTTTCCAATTCCTCATCCAATTTCTCAAAGAACACTTTCACCTACATGAATCGAATGATAATAACCAAATAAATTTTTTATTTGTGCGAAAACATAGAACTAAAAATGTTATGAATTAATTATGTTTACTTAATCTATTTGGTTAATTACCTCGTCTTCCTCAGAGTTCAAATGTTCAACGAGTTCAGTTTCATCATCTTCATCTTCATCTTTTTCTGACATTTCGTCACCTTGTTCGGAAAGCGTGTTTTTCACCTATACCATGCATGACACGTGGAACATGTAGTTATAGGCTTATAGCAATGATGATAACTATCATTTCCTTGTTATTTCAGGAAACAAGTCATATAATGCGTGACAGTCGTTTCTATTGGCTTTTAGTCCCCAAAAATACTCAATTTCATGAAAATCAAGTCTTTGATGACGCCATCTCACCGCTACCTTTTGTTAATTACTACAAGCACCACAACTTTAACAGGTGTGTGTGTTTGTGTGTGTTTCATCTCACACCCTCAGACGCAATAACTGATGTTATTGTTGAAAATGAACAAAAACTTTAAGTGAAAAAAGTGGATGAAAATAATGGGTAAACCAAAAAAGTGATTATGTTTTGCATAAGATATCCTTGAAAAAAGTTAGTTAATGCTATCTATATGTATAACTTAATGGAAAATGATTAAACTGAATAGACAATGAGATTTAATGCGTAACGTAACGAAATCAACAGCAGATTAATGCAAAAACATTTCATTCGATGGTAATCGTGAATGATGACACGAAAGCCATGATGAAGACATGCACCAAAAGTATTTTCTTTTGGAACTTCAACAGTACTATATGTCAAGCACTAAAGTAGATTCACACATGTTTTTTTCAATTTTAACATTAATTTCAAATCATAATTAATTAGCGAATGCTTTACCATCTTCCGATGGCTATTACATTTCCTTGTAATTAGTAATTAAAATACCTGAAGAATCTGATCAGGTTGTTGATTGGTTGCATTAGATGTAAGACGACGAAACAAAGAGCGAACAGGGTCGAATATTGATATGCCATAATCTTGACTGCAAGTCGTTTGTGAAAGCTTTGATATCCTTGATAGTTTAACCTTCTTAACATGTTTCTTGAGCTGCCAATAATTCACAAAGGCATCTTTCCATTCAGGAATGAGTTGGGCTTCAAGCTCTTTAGAGAACTTCACCATTAATTCTTTCCGTATCACAATCTCCCTCTGGTGACGATCAGGAGAGAGAGAGAGAGAGAGAGAGAGAGAGAGAGAGAGAGAGAGAGTTACTCAATGGGGGATGAGTGGCCGGATGGGTGCTTATATAGATATATAGAACAGACAAAGATGTAGGTAGAAGACAGATGGTTTAACAAGCAAAGATTTGAAAAGCTTCTATATATCTTCTCTCTCTTCTTTGATTTACTTCCTGATTCATGTTAATTAAAGGAGAAGGCAGATTCCACTTTCAACTTCATTTCCACCACCTTATTTTTCTTGTGTTCCATTATCATCCTTTTGGGTACGTATTATTATATGAGTTTCTTTCGTTGATTCTAGAATGGAGGTCAGGCGACTTCAAGGATTGCTTGTTAAAAACTTTCACATCAAAACTTTTTAACCTTCTATTGATAGACAAACACTCCTGAAGTTATTAACTTAATTTGCACCTTCTATTAATTATAATAAAAAATTCAAAATCATATTTAATCATTACCGCATATGATATAAATGCATGGTGTTAGTGCACTTGAATTATAAATTAATACCGCATTTCTTTTACCGCATTAATCTACCTTAAATAGTCATTTTTTGAACTAAAGGTTAATTTGGTTATTTTTTTTAATAATTTTTCTATATAATTACGTGTATGCTTATTCTCATATATAAAATTATTTAAATCATGTACATGAACTAACACCACTAAAAGCACAAGAAATTAATAAAAAGGAAACTAAAATAGAAGGCTTAAAGGAAATTATGTTCCTTATACGCATTAAATAATTATACAGTAAAAAAAAATAAATAAATAAATAAATAAAAAAAAAAAAAAGCGAAAAGCTCGATGATTTAAGGTGCTATGCAAGGATAAAGCCCGGGAGTCTAACAGATCATATTGATTAATCATACATGTTTCACCCCTTCCTACACGCCATGTCATGCCACTCTTCATATTGAGGAAGCATTCTTTAGAACTGTGCTTCACCTTGAGACCAGCAATTAAACTTTCTCAAACAGAATTAACAATGGAAAATCTGCCGCTGTTAGACATGGATTTCCCAAAAACAAATTCGATGTATAAACACGCTTCTATGGATTAGGTGATAAAATAGCAACAATTTCTAGTACACAATGTCGCAAAATTTTATCATATCTCCAATATTATAACTTAGTATTATTTAAGGTGGTAAAAGTCGCTAGACGGTAGTATATCGGTCGGTTAGCAACTACAGATTAGTCGGTGACTAATTGCAGACCGTAAAATGTAAATTCGTTATGACAAGTATCATAACAAAATAGGTTAATTTGATTAATACAACATTAATCAGTTTCCAAGTAGTTTCTATTGAGATAAAACTTTTTCAAAGTGATAAAAATTCATCGACTTCTATAGCTTCACTCATTGTCTAGGCAGAGATTAATCGTTAGGCGCATTATAGTCGATTGGGTATCAGCTATGGACTAATTGAAGATTAATCCGGACCTAGTTGAACTTTTACAACACTATTATTATTTAAAACTGTAGCTAATATGTGTGGGTGATTTTAGTGTCACCTGATATTTTGTATAATTAGAACTGACATGTAAACTAAGGGGCTTATCGTTTGTATTCTATATTATATGTTTGTGAATGCGGAGTGAATGCATATATTAGATTAAATTATAAGCCGTTACGACAGAAAGACAGGGGCTTTGGGTAGTGCCCTAAAAGGTATTCGGAAATTTTAATTAGTTTATTTATGGAAAATCCGAATTATAATGAGTAATTATGGTAAAATTGACAAATATCGTCAGTTTTGGTAACCATTGATTATGCCATTAATTTCAAGATTTGTATAACTAATTTAGAAGATTTACACTAATATGTCAAGTATAAATACGACTCTTCTATTGAGTCACATATCATACCCTTCTCAGCTCTTCTTCTTCTATACGAACTCAGAACTCTCTGACGATTTGGTTTGTGTTTCTATGCCTAGATATACAAGTGTCCTTATGGATTATCCTAGACTGGATTTTGTGTAACACAGACATTGGGTGGAAATATCATTTCGGAAAGTGAACTTACATGATCCAAGAGAAATCCGGTTCTCCACCATCACCCTACTCAAATATCTTTCAACAATCGAATTGATATTCTCATCTGGTGGAGATGGCTGAATCAATCTGTGAGTTGAAAACTAAGTTCATGAAACTGGAAAAGTTTGAAGGCAATGATTTTAGGCTTTGGAAGAAGAAGATGTTATGCATGATGACCACGCTGAAGTCTGCGTATGTGCTGAGTACTCTAAGGCCAGAAGTGGTGGAGAACGAGACACTGGAAGAAACCAGAAGGAGGATCAAGTGGGACAATGATGATTACATCTGCAGAGGACATATTCTGAATGGTATGGCTGATTCCTTTTTTGATATCTATTTTGAGGCTAATAGTGAAAAGGAGTTGTGGGACACTCTTTAATCAAATACATGGTCGAGGATGCTTCTAACAAGTTTCTGGTCAGTGATTTTAATAAATATAATGGTTGACTAAAGATCTATAATGGAACAATACAATGAACTCCTTCTCATTTTGGGTCAATTCAAACTGCACAACATGAATATGGATGAAACCATTGATGTGTCGAGTGTGATTAACAAACTTCCACCATCATGGAAAGACTTCAAACATAATCTAAAACATCAAAAGAAAGAAATATCCATGGTTCGACTTGAAAGTCATTTTCGCATTGAAGAATCCATTCGTGCACAAAAGAGTGACAAAAACAAGATTAAAGTTGAATCTGGACAGCCGCCAGTTCATATAGCTGAAAACAAACCAAGAAATCTGAACAACAAATGACATGGAAAACGCAAGCAGGAACATGTCCCAAATAACTCCAACAAAAAGAAAAAAGGAGCTGGTTTGTTGGAGGTGTTTAGGGATGGGACATTGCAAGTGTGATTGTCGTGTGAATCTGGGCAATAATGGTACTAGAAACAATGGACCCAATGAAGGTGGTAATGGCTCTAAGGACTAAGTGATTGGAGGTCAGTTTTTGAATAACTTTGATAATTCTAATAAGAATTATGTTTATCATGTTTCCTTTATTCCTAAATCATTCTATGTAAAGGATGATGATGTTGCTTGGTGGATCGACCCGGGTGCAACAAACCATGTATGCAAGGATAAACGTATGTTTGAAGCATTAACATCGCTTAAAGATGGATCTATGTCGCACATGGGAGATGATTCTTTTAAACCTATTTGTGGTGTCGTTATTGTTTGTTTAGAATTTACTTTTGGAAACACAATTAAGCTTTTTGATGTTTTGTTTGTTCCCAAGATTCGAAAGAATATTGTTATTGGTAGTTGTTTGAGTTATGATGGTTTTAAACAAGTTTATGAATCAGATATATATATATATATATATATATATATATATATATATATATATCCTTTATCGAGGTCGAATGTTTATTGGCTTTCGATATTTAAATAATAGAATGTTTTATTTGAATGTTAATGATAAATTGTCATCTATTCAAAATTTTGATTTTGTGTCATCGTCTTCTTCTAAAATTGATGACTCCATGCTTCGGCATGCTATATTAGGTCATGTCAATTTTAGAAGGATGCATCAAATGTCAAAAGATGGTCTTATACCACCACCCTTTGACATAAATCCAGAAAGATTTAAAACATGCATGCTTAGAAAAGTTACAAAATAACCATTTCCAAGTGTTTCTAGAAAGTCAGCTGTTTTGGAACTTGTACACAATGATTTGTGTGATTTCCACTATACTCCATCTTTGGGAAGTAAAAAGTATTTGGTCACATTCATTGATGACTGTACTCGATTTTGCTATGTGTATTTTGTTAATGCTAAAAATGAAGCATTGGAAAAGTTCAAAATATACAAAAACTGAGGTGGAATTGCAATTGGGCAATCCGGCTAAGTATATTAGAACCGATCTGGGAGGTGAATATATGGATTCCATATACTTCCAATCAGTCGGTATCATTCAAGAAACCACAGCACCATACTCGCCCCAAAAAAATGGAATCGTCGAACGCAAAAATCAATTCTTAAAGGAAATGGTAAAATCGATGCTTTCTTACTCAGGATTGAGTGAGGGATACTGGGGAGAGGCTATGTTAACGACCTGGTATTTACGGAATAAGGTTCCAAAAAAAGGAACAAAACAGTCCCATATGAACTTTGGTTCAAGAAAAAGCCAAATTTGAGTTATTTTCCGGTTTGGGGATGTTGGGCAGTTGTAAAACTCACCGAACCCTAAAGGAAAACTTTGGGACAACGTGGAATAGATTGCATATTCATTGGACATGCCGAACATTCCAAGGCGTATAGGTTCTATGTAATAGAACCCAATGATTCAGTACCGATTAACACCGTTATCGAGTTACTGGATGGAATTTTTGATGAGAAGCAATTTTAATGAATTAAAAGGCCTAATGATTTGACTTTTGGCACTAAATAAGTGCAAAATATAGAAAGTCAAGATGGTGGTAATGGTCAAGAACCACAAGAGCTTCGTAGAAGCAAAAGAGGCCGAATTGCGAAAATTTTTGGATCTGACTTCCAACTCTATTTGGTGGAAGGTTCAAGGGATGAAATTAGTCTTGAATACTCATATTGCTATAGTATTAAGGATGATCCTAAGAAATATCAACAATCCATTGAGTCTCGACATGCCGTCTTTTGGAAGGAAGTGATTGATGACGAAATGTCATCAATTTTTGGGAACAATACATAGGTGTTGTCTAAATTTCCTCCAGGTTCTAAACCACTTGGTTACAAATCGATTTTCAAAAAGAAAATGAATATTAATGGGTGTATTGGAAAGTACAAAGCCCGGTTGGTCATTCAAGGTTTTAAACAAAAACCTAGTGTTGACTATTTTGATACGTATGCTCCAGTTGCACGTATTTCTACTATTAGCTTGTTAATTGCTTTGGAAAGCATTCACAATCTGATTATCCCTCAAATGGAAGCCAAAACAGGCTTTTTAAATGGTGAAATTGATGAAGAAGTT